CAACGCAGCGCAAACACGAGCGCTCGCGCAGTCCGCAGAGGTGCGAGTCTCCCACCCAGATTACATCAGCATGAATAGCAGATTACAGCAGGCGTTACCAGAGCGATCGGTGAGATGTGAAGTGAACCGTCAGTGCAATTCATAAAGCCTGTCATCGGTTACAGAGGCGTCACTCTCACTTCATGCCAAACGTCACCGTCGCTGTCACACGTAAGGCCTGTCAGGTGTGCATGCCAGTTAGTGATTACTTGAGTAGGATGAGAAAGGGACAAATCTGTTTGTTGTTTTGTATCTTGAATATGTGCAAGAGTTTGATTGTCATTATGTCTGATGGCCCTGATATGAATTTGCTTGCGTTGTTGCAGATGTCAGAAAGAGAGTGCTGGTAATTCAGTACCCAAAGAGTTGAAGATGATGGGTATGTATGAAGTTTTAACACAATATTATTTTTAGCCGTCATGTGTGTCTCAATATGTCTTTCACAACTTATGATAATAACATATTTGTGAGTTAATGTGCCTATGGCATGCAGATTGTTGTACGCACTCTCATGTGGGATATGAGCTGATGTGACTGCATGTGCCCGTGTTATTAATATATTTATGTGTATGTGTGTGTATAGACACACAGCGTGCTTTGCTGGCAGTGGAGCGGCTGCAGGAGAGGCTGAAGAAGAAGGGAGAACTGCCTGCTGAGGAAAATCTCAGTCTGCTCAAGAGTGTCTTACAGAGTCCCCTGTTTCACCAGATACTCATCATGCAAGACACCGAACATCAGCATCAGCAACAACAGGTCAGAGACGAATAACATCATCATTATACTGCATGACCAAAAAATAAAAAAAATAAAAAAATGGCATACACTGACACAAAAAGACATCAAAACAATAGTGTGCTTTTCCATTATATAGCCTAGTGTTTTATTTTTAATAAATGTATTCAATTAAACAGTGTAAATAAAGTTCTTATGACTATGTAAAATTTAAAAATAAAATCATATTTTTAAATCTAATTGGCTGATAGTACTTCCATATTTATGACATGACACAGCTAGATTCATTATATGGCACATTGCTGTCATTACCATCATAACTGATCTTGTGAAGTGCTGATGTGAAGTGTATTGAACAAAAGTATGCTGATATCCAACTCCACAACTATTGAAATTTACATGCAGGTATATTTTATAAAGCAATTATATACCCAGGGAGCATAATTTCAGATATTCCCTGATGCGAACAGACCTCTTCCCTGACTACATCATCTCTGTTTCAGTGTCTATTATTAGATGAAATAAAACATGAGACAAACCTTTCTTAAAGGACTTTTTTGGATTCAGTACAAGTCAAGCTGAACTGACAACAGTTGTGGCATAATGTTGTCCCTCGTTTGCTTTAAAAAAGAAAAAGTCTAAGTTAAATGAAGGTGAATGGCGCCAATCCATTAACATTAATTTAATATGCTTGCTGTTTCAATAGTAAAGCCGCAAGATATAAACAATATGCATGTTAATGTGATTTTTGCATGAAAAAAAAAACACCGTGTTATACCTA